TACACACATACACAGCGTGTAGCTTATACACTCTACATGCTACATTTAGGCATACACCCTGGCTCCACCCCATTCAACCCTCACTTCAAACAATAATAGAAATTGACATTTTGAAAATATGCGAAAAGAAAATCAAATGTGACGTAACTGTACACCATGTTTTATCTTTATTAATGCGCAAAAAATAGAAAAGTGAGAATTGGGCTAAAAGCCACCAAGACAAATTACTTGCGTCGACATTTCCATTTCCTTTTCTTGATGCCTGCGTGTCACATTTTTTCTTGATAAAATTTAAATATAATTACCTCCCGAGGTATGAGTGGTGACATTTTACGGAATTCTTCTGTTCCCGTCAACTTTCTGTCTGTGTGCACTGTCAGACTCGTCAGACCATTCTGTTAAGCGCGCATTTATCCTGGTTTTTCTCGTGCATTTCCTTGTGGTTCCTTGATGGTTGTTTGCCGGGTTGTAGTAAAGGCCTATATAGGTGTAAAGCCTATTAAGCCTATAGCCATGAGCTTGATAACCCTGTGCATACTAGACCGTATGTATGAAGTGAGAGGCTTGTTCATTAATTTTTACACAATGTCTAAACCTCTAAACATTTTGTTTTTCTGTCTAAAAAGTGTAAAAGTTGTTATAGGTATAACCTACACCGGATGAATGTTTACATACGTTTACATGAGGGGGGGGGGGGCATATTTTTATCACTGTCCTGCTTGTGTGGTCTTTGCATAGGTCGTGATACGCGGCAAGCAGTGCTATTCTGTCGTCTTTCAGTTCAAAATAAAAAATGGCGATGGGTCGGGTGCGCTTTTCTGAAAATTTTACTGAATCTATTCACAGTTAGACGTTTAGAAGATAAATATTTTGAGATATTGAGAAAAGGAGTGGATGCATTTCTGAGGGTTATAACTGTTAAGGTGTATTAAATGTACAGATTCTTTACGTTTTCTGAATGAATTTAAACCTTCGGTTTTCTACACAAATTATTCACGTTAAATGGAAAATGTATAACGAGTAAAAAATACCGTACAGTGAGTAATAAGAAAGTTGTGAGCTTTGCCTTATCTTTCAAAGCCTATATTTGCGAGGCCATTCAAGCTTTGAATAAACAATACACTGCCTGATTCATCGGCCTGGTTTTCGGCTGTAAATCCCACCAACTCATGCTGCAAGTAGAGAAGAAGGAAGTTTTAGATTCACGTGAAAGCGTAGGTTGGTTGCAATTTAACAGTTTTATACAGTTTGGTTTACACTTCATTATCTCATAGACACATTCTTCGCCCTTCTTTAAATGGTTAAGTAGATAATTGTTACCAAAAATATAAACATTGCATCCTCCCCCTCGACCCCTTGANACAGTATACGAACCAGTGATTAAGATCTATCGAAAACTTGGGTGGGAAGGAAGGAGAGGGGGGGGTTTGATGGGGATGCTACGTACGAGTACAGAGGAAGGAAAGAAGGATGTATGTGGGAAGAGAAAGGGGGAAGGGGCGGGGGGAAAATGTCATCGTGAATTTCTCTTTTTCTATCTTAGAATTTTCTTCAATCTTTAGCTAACCATGATTGGTCACAACGTTAGGACTTGTAATTAGTACAGAAATTTATAGAAGAAAAAAATGGTTGATTATTTCAAACTACATGGATGGAATAGAAAAGGATAAAAAGAGGGGCGGGTTCATTTTTTCCGTAAAATTCACATTTACTTCCAAATTAACGAGCTAAAGAATTATTATATGGATGAGATTCCCAGATAGATAGATAGATAGATAGATAGATAGATAGATAGATAGATAGATAAGAATAAAGCTTGAGAACACCATCTGGTCTATATGAAATCCATGTCATCAAAAAAGCAACCAACGGTTTTAGAAGGGTCAAAACCTTAATGGACAAAACACCGTAAAATGTAGACATTTTAATCTCCAAATAATGGACTTGCGATCTATTAAAAACAATAAATCTTCAAAATTTGCTTAATACAGAAATGTATTTGACAATAGTGGAGTGTGGAGCAGGATTTCACTATCGAATCTGTATGGTTTTCAAGCCAAGCACCCATGACTTCATCACCATAGACGTGTACTGTTAAAGGAAAAGCTTATAAAAAAAATGTTTTATCAAAGTTCATATTAGCCGTACACTTTTCGAAGATTTTATTCTTTACATTTCGTAGATTTGTTACTTTTCCAGAATTTGACATTTCTTTCTGCATCGAGAATTAAAATAACTTCAAGGGAACGAGTGAGCTAGGGGGTTTAAGGCTTCGTGGGTCATTTGTTTTGAATCATAAGAAGTCCAGCAGGTGCGGGGGGGAAGGAGGTCTCTTAAGTGTACTGTTTAGCATGAAAGGATTAAAGAAGGGGGGTGGGGGAGGAGGGGTAGGGTAATAGCCTAGCGGGGTTTATGCCCCAAAAAGTTTAGTTTGTTCAACACAGTTTTAATGGCTCAATTTGGGCTGTTTCCTTGCATCGAGAAGCAAATACAAATATTTGGAGGTTTTTTTCTTAGAGTAGAGGAGACATTTTCATGGGAAATGAGGCATTGCAATTTTGAAGGGTAGAATTTTTTTCAGTTTGCCGTGAACAATTAAATTCAGTAAAAGATATTTTTGACCGAGACGTTTTTTTTGTTTGTTTATATTTTGATTGTAGAAATGTTAAGGGCGTGGTTTATAAAAGTAATCTGATAATAGTTTTCAATGACGCTGGATTTTATCTATTTTCACGCGAGGCTAGGCGTGTAAACTGAATGCACTACAATGCACATTTTTAAACAATTAAAAGTAGAATTATATCAAGAATAATTAGATTTTCTCGCCCTAGTATATTTAGTATATTGTACAAAGTGTATTGTAAACAAAATTATAAAACATATCGAAAACTTATTACTCTATTAGTATAGAATCTCGTATTGTAACTTTTATTTATCAAATTCTATCAAATGCTATAAATGAAAATCGGAATGATAGAAATAGCTGAAAAGTTTTTATCAGGGTAAAGCATAATTTGATGATAAACGTATAACAGAATTATGTACTTATTTGATAGGCATAGTGCATACAAAAAAAATACTTGTTACAATTGCTATTTTACGAACTTACAGGTCGAAAATACACATTTTTACATTGTACAGTTTTCTATTATTAGTTTTCAAATAATAACAGGTCGAAAATACACATTTTACATTGTACAGTTTTCTATTATTATTATTATTCAAATAATAACAGGTCGAAAATACGCATTTTACATTGTACAGTTTTCTATTATTATTATTTAGATCAAAACAGGTCAAAAATACACATTTTTCATTGTACAGTTTTCTATTATTATTATTCAAATAATAACAGGTCGAAAATACGCATTTTACATTGTACAGTTTTCTATTATTATTATTTAGATAATAACAGGTCAAAAATACACATTTTTCATTGTACAGTTTTCTATTATTATTATTAAAAAAATAACAGGTCAAAAATACATGTTTTACATTGTACAGTTTTCTATTATTATTATTCAAATAATAACAGGTCGAAAATGCACATTTTACATTGAACAGTTTTCTATTATTATTATTATTCAAATAATAACAGGTCGAAAATACGCATTTACATTGTACAGTTTTCTATTATTATTATTTAGATCAAAACAGGTCAAAAATACACATTTTTCATTGTACAGTTTTCTATTATTATTATTTAGATAATAACAGGTCAAAAAAACACATTTTTCATTGTACACTTTTCTATTATTATTATTCAAATAATAACAGGTCAAAAATACACATTTTTCATCGTACAGTTTTCATTATTTTTATTCAAATAATAACAGGTCAAAAATACATGTTTTACATTGTACAGTTTTCTATTATTATTATTCAAATAATAAAAGGTCAAAAACACATATTTTAATTTGTACAGTTTTCTATTATTATTATTCAAAAAATAACAGGTCGAAAATACACATTTTTACATTGTACAGTTTTCTATTATTATTATTTAGATAATAACAGGTCAAAAATACACATTTTTCATTGTACAGTTTTCTATTATTATTATTCAAATAATAAAAGGTCAAAAATACATATTTTACATTGTACAGTTTTCTGTTATTATTATTCAAATAATAAAAGGTCAAAAATACATGTTTTACATTGTACAGTTTTGTATTATTATTATTCAAAAAATAACAGGTAAAAAATACACATTTTTCATTGTACAGTTTTCTATTATTATTATTCAAATAATAACAGGTCAAAAATACACATTTTACATTGTACAGTTTTCTATAGATCCTAGTTATATAATTGTATATTGATTATACACAATAAACACAACTTTTCATAAATTGAATGTAATATTATTATAAAATCAACTTGTAACCTAACTTTACACCCGCTGTTTAATAAACATTATTATTCTTGTTAAAAAAATTGCAAATCATATTTTCTTTATTTTCTTTTGTATTTTCCGAAACTTAAGTTGGAAAGAATAAGTTTTGTGTAATAGTTGTTAAATATTCTGAATAATGATTCATAACTATATCAGCTGTTTTGTAAAACACTTGTTAAAAAAATAATATCATTCATTCTTTTAATTGTTATGACTAAACATCAAGCAAATGGAAAAAAAGTTCTAACTTTTAGTTAAACTATTATTGGTTAAATAAATTATTTTTCTTGATATATTTTTTAAAAATTTCAAAAGTTAGCCTTAATCGTTTGCGCCTTTTTAACCATTTCGGCTGATTTAGAAAAATAGGAAACCCTTAGTTAGACCCTAGTATTAAGAAAAAACATGTGGTAAATTTAATTTTAAGGTTAATATGCTGCAGCCATTGTTTTCTGTCAAACTCCATGTTTAACTGCTCTGTACACACGTGCAATCGGAGGAATATTTTAAACTTTTTAAAATTATACTTTTCATAGATATTTCCGTTACCTTTCACACCACCCCGTTTATAATATTTTCGTTAAAAATAATTTAATTTATTTTCAGGTTCGGCAAACTTTGACGAGTCTCAAAAACTAGGAGGCACTAAACCGAATGTTCGTCGGAGAAAATCGTCATTCGTCCATTCCGTGTGCTGTGATACTTGTTCCTTATGTTCCAAATGTCCTTGTTCGTCCCCTGCCGCCCCCCGCCGGCCAGGGGCATTTAGAGACTCAGGGGGTACATCACCTCATATCAGTGAGCCTTACATGGCCCCCGATAAAAGTTGGGGTAGAGCCCCAGAGAAATTATTTAGTCAGAGAAATGTTCTGCTTTTGTCATTCTTCCTAGTCATCCTCGCTTCAAATACAGGTACAGCATATAACACTACAGTACAGTGTACTTCAATCGTATTACAATATTTCCCGCATTTCTTAATAACTATCTTGGCGGATTTTTAGAAGGATTGGACTCGTGTACCACTATATACACCTTGCTTTAACAATATTAAAATAAATTTGTATCTTATACATGGACTAAAAGCTGATAACCCACAAAGTTTGATCGATATTTCAATTTTTTAGATTTTAGTTTTTTATCTTTTTTATTGTATGTCTGGGGTGAGTGGTGAGGATCGTATGGAACGGTTTTTAGAGAATTACAAAGAATATTCTGGTTTTTTGTGCCATTTCCCCTTGTTTTGTTATGTTGAAGATGGGTGAGAGGATGAGTAGAGAATGTAGTCTAACCGCGCACAAAAACTCGACAAATAAACAAACAAGCATGAAACCTTTAAAATTATGTTCGTAACAAATAATATTGATAAAAAGTTTATTTTCATCCAGAATTTTAGGTCGTAAATTTCAAACCGAGTGTTGAACTAAAAAATGTTGTAAAACTATTTTACATTGATACCTTGTCCTGATTAATCTCCGGCTTATGTCGATCAATAGAGTATTGACAATTAAAAAATTGTCCATGATGAAAGATGATTTTAAAACTTTAAATTTGTTTGATTTCAATTAATCCCCAATCAATTTCTCTGTAGCTACAGAGTTCTGCATTTACTGAAATGAGCAGATGTATTTCAGCTGCTTTTATAGTAAACAGTGGTCATTAGTATTGGTAGAACTGGACTCAACAACTGACACCCTCCCCTTATTAGGTTGGTCCTTATGTCTCCTAAGATATCATCAAGGCTATAAGGGTGTAAAAACTACTTTAGTAAAACGCCACCCAAGTTCAGTATTGAGTATTTTATCCGCCTGGCTTGCCCTGTGCCCACTATTCGCCGTCAATATCCTTGAATTGTGTCCGCCGTGAGATGAATTCAGAGCAATTTGTTCATATAGATCCACTGAAATTGTATACGTCTCCGCCGTGGGTACATTATGGTTAACTTTGCCATGTTCTGATTTCTGGCATCGTGCGTCCATATATCCGCCGTTTATCTTATATCCGACGTGGACCCATTTACTCATATATCCGCCGTGTACCTATATATCCGCCGTATACCTATATCCACTGTGTATTCGTGGTGTTTAACTAGTAAGTGTGTCTTCTGTCTATGTTTAGATTTTGTTATTATTTTGACATGTGGTGTTCCCCATAGAGGTGGAGGTAGCATAGTGGATAGATTCAACACCCAGAAAATATAATATAGTTTACTTAAATATATTATAGTTTTACTGAAATATATTAGAGGAGGGGGGAGGTGGGGAGGGTACCGGTGTACCGTCACCAACTCTATTCTATTCTAAACTAAACTCCAGTACTCAATACACCTTCTAACAGGGAAGATGACGCCAGAGTGATACATTAACATGGATACCCTGCATCCCGCCTCCAGGGGGTACCACGCCCCCTTCATGTGCCCCGCCCACCGTGGCAGAAACAGTGCTAATGAACGCGATGTTAACAGTGAATTTCTAACGTGGATATCATCTATTTTTGATTACAAATATGCCGGTAAGTAAAAAAATATTTTGTTTATTTAAAATTTTCTTTAACATAAAAAAAACTTTTTTCACATGATATTAAACAGATATGTTTGCCCTATCTTGCAAACATTTGATGAAAGTAAAACAAGTCACAAACATGCTTTTTTTCTCACACAATAGACAGATATATAGACAGACAGATGGACAGATAGACAGATAGACAGAAAGCCAGATAGACAGAGAGACAGATAGACAGATAGAAAGAGAGACAGATAGACAGATAGACAGATAGACAGATAGACAGATAGAAAGAGAGAGAGATAAACAGATAGACAGATAGATAGACAGACAGACAGACATGTAGAAAGACAAACAGACTGAGAAACAGACAGACAGACAGACAGACGTAAAAACTAAAAGATTGTCAAGCATCAATTGGATCGTGACGGACAAAACTAAAGTTAAGATTAACTAAGTATGAGTCAAAAATTTTTTATCTAATTTTAAAACGGTCAAAGTTTCGGAATAGATTAGCTGGCTCGCCCCCTATCTACAGGTTTACAGATAAGACGACTTTTCCTGTTTCTTCAACTAATTGGTTAATAAATTCAGTTAAACCCAGTTCTTATAAATCTTTCTTTAACATGATTTTGGATGCGCTAATGGGACACTTAAATTCAAACGTATATGAGTAAAAAAAAACTCCATTTTGTTTTATATGGGACAACACAGTTTCCTAATCTTAATTTATATATGACAAAGGTGGCCGTTGGGTATTTAGTATTGTACATTTCAGAGGGGGGGGGGGGTTGTAAGGAAGGTGGTCTTTCATCCTTAAACCAATAGCCATGGCGGTTTAACAAAAGCAAACTAAGACTCGAATTTATGACTCTTTTTGTGCTAAGTGCGCTCTCCTTTAGTTCAAATTAGGTTTAACAAATACCTAACATTCACAGGACCCACACACAGACAAAACAAATTGTCAAAAAAATTAGAATTTTCAACAGAAACTTGGGAGATTTCGCGCTTGTTAAGAAAATCCAATATGGTGTCGGGTTAAAGATTACAATTCGCGGATTTGTTGAATTAAGCTCCGTGTTGGTATTGAACCTGCCTGGTTAATACTTTATTAGAATTGAACTTTTACCCGCATTCTTGAAGAGGAGGGGTGGAAGAGGGGGTAATCAAATAGTTTAACAACGGATAACCATACAAACCGACTTCAAAAATACCCGTAAAAAAAAAACAAAGTACTTTGAGCCAAAAGAAAAGGAAAGACAGAAATATTTAAATTTTTTAATAATCCGAAGAGGAGGAATTTGTAATGGAAAAAAATGATCAAATCTTCATTGAACTGGAGCCTCGTGGACCATTTACTGCAGACCTGCATACCATTATATAGACTTAATAATTTAATTCATTAATTTAAATTGGAAATATTTTTACCATTGAGAACCATTAGGACTTTGATCCAAGCCGATTCAAGTTTAAAATGTCCTATTTCGTGTTCATAGACCCAGCATGAAACAGACATTAAGACAAACACAGGCTGACAAAACAGACAAGACATGCAAAGATTTTGAATTTTTTAAATATTTAACTTTTATGTTGAGATGTTCACAACAACATATTCATTTTTGGACAGTTTTTTATTATAATTATTAATATTATTATTGTTATTGTTATTTTTATTGTTATTGCTATTTTTATTGTTATTGTTATTGTTATTGTAATTGTTATTGTTATTGTTATTGTTATTGTTATTGTTATTGTTATTGTTACTGTTATTGTTATTGTTATTGTTATTGTTATTGTTATTGTTATTGTTATTGTTATTGTTATTGTTATTGTTATTGTTATTGTTATTGTTATTGTTATTGTTATTGTTATTGTTATTGTTATTGTTATTGTTATTGTTATTGTTATTGTTATTGTTATTGTTATTGTTATTGTTATTGTTATTGTTATTGTTATTGTTATTGTTATTGTTATTGTTATTGTTATTGTTATTGTTATTGTTATTGTTATTGTTATTGTTATTGTNGTTATTTGTATTATTGTTATTATTATTATCATTATTTTGTCCCCAGTTTTTTCTTTCGTGATTTTCTGTGTATAAACAGTACAAATAAACAGTAGTAGAAAGGATAAACTTCTCCAAACTTGAACAAAAATAGATATTATACCGATCATGATCCAATAAAAGTTGGAAGGAAACTGAGAAAAAAATCTATTTGTGGCTGGACTATAAATACTTTGAAGGAAAAAAAGAAAGAAAAATATTACATTATTTAGAGGGGAAATATTTAGGATATACATAATATTTTAATAATAATAGGATCTATCTGGGAATATTTAGGATATACATAATATTTTAATAATGATATGATCTTTCTGGGAATATTTAGGATATACATAATATTTTAATAATGATATGATCTTTCTGGGAATAATCATGACTTTTTCGCTTGAACTATATTTAAGCCTTTTAACATTTAAAAAAAATAACAAATTTTTCAGATTTGCCAGTTTTCACCATTTATTTAGATATTCATTTATTCATTTAAACACTTTTCCTTCATTCATTCCGGCATTCTTTAATTTATTTATTCTCCTACTTTCAAAAGTTCATGATACCTCTAAAACGAACATTGACCCCCCCCCCCCTCATTGAGAGCTATCTCTATTCACAGATTTAGTTCCCCCCTCCCACGCAAAACTGCTGTGACGTCATATATCCTTCATTCAAATCTTATTTGAGTTTTAAACTAGCAATTTAGCTTTAATTACCTGGTTTAAGTAGCTCAAATGGCTACATTTACATCTATATTTAGACAAGTTTGAATTTTTAAATGATCTAAAAGGTTTCACAATTTTTGTAGACTTCTTCGTATCTTACTGGGGTCGAAATTAATGAATAGCTAAAAGTTGAACTAGTTACAAATAGTTAATCCACTTCTTTATAAAGAAGAAAATTAAATCAGACAACCATTTAATTTTCTAAATATTTCCACCCTGAAGTTGCAAAAATAAATTCAAATGGTTTTTAATTTTGCGAGGAAAGTTTTCAGACAAATTATTTTCCCATTTCAAAATTAGTCTCCACTTTGCCAGTTGTTCAATTAATACCATTGACGTGGCAAAAATAAAGTTTTAAAAATGAAATTGCAACTTTTCCATGAAATGTTTTAAACAGTTGGAAAAGTTAAACTTGTTTTTGATAATAATAAAATATTTTTTAAACTATATTAATAACGATTTAACACTTTAACTAAAATAAAATTTAACTCCTTCACGAAAAATTTGATGAAATGTTTTAGAGAAACTTCTCATATTTTGAACTACCCCCCCCCCTTGAATCAGATTTCTTATGATTTTAATATTTATCCTGGAACTTCAAGTGTTTATGTCTATTCACACATAAAGCTGAGTAAATAATTTGCCAATCAAAACCCACCGGTTTAATTCCTGATTTCCCCTTATATTCCCCACACCACACTCCCGCCCCGCCCCACCCTCTTTTTAAGTTGAAAGTGTCCGTCAATTATCTATCTATCTATCTATCTGTCTGTCTATTTATTTATCTTTAACTTCTAAAATATGCATGGTTTAGAAAGCCGATAAAAAATCCGCTTTGTGGTCTGGTTGTCTAATGTTTAATTTGTGTCTCTGTCTAATTTATGTTGTCTGTCTAATTTTGTTGTTTGTTCAGTTTATGTTGTCTCTGTCTGTCTAATTTTGTTGTTTGTTCAGTTTATGTTGTCTCTGTCTGTCTAATTTTGTTGTTTGTTCAGTTTATGTTGACTCTGTCTGTCTAATTTTGTATGTTTGTTCAGTTTATGTTGTCTCTGTCTGTCTAATTTTGTAAGTTTATGTTGACTCTGTCTGTCTAATTTTGTATGTTTGTTCAGTTTATGTTGTCTCTGTCTGTCTAATTTTGTATGTCTGTTCAGTTTATGTTGTCTCTATCTGTCTAATATTGTATGTCTGTTTATTTTTTGTTGTCTGCCCAATTTATGTGGTTGTTTAGTTAATGTTGTCTGTCTTATTTATGAAGTACATTTTATGTTGACCCTTTTTTAACACTTTAACCCGCCCGGCCATATCTATTTAACTAAAATACTTTTAAATTCTGTTCAATACCTCCACCCTTTCCAAGTAACGGAGACAAATCTACTAAACAAAACTTTTCTTTTTTCAAATTTTTCTATTTCCATAATCGGAGTTCATGAGAATATTTCGCTGTTTCACTACAATAAATATATTCTTTCTTGATTTTAAACTTTAAACGCTGAATATTTAAATGTTTTATAGATTTAAAGGTTTAAGGTTATTTAAGGTTTAAAGTTTTGAAGGTTTAAAGTTTTGAAGGTTTAAAGTTTTGAAGGTTTAAAGTTTTGAAGGTTTTAAGTTTTGAAGGTTCAAAGGTTTAAATGTGTGAAGGTTTAAAGGTGTGAAGGTTTAAAGTTTTGAAGGTTTAAAGGTTTAAAGGCTTGAAAAGGGTTGTGAGAGAGCTTCCATAGCTTATTCAGGTGTGTCATACCACAGGGGCGTAGCCTGCAATGGTTATTAGAAGGGCAGACCCGGAAGGGGGCATTTAATTTCTTACTTTTAAACCTATAACACGGATAAGCAAGGTTGTCGATGGGTGGGGATGGGGGGGGGGTGGTAACGTCTATATTCCATTAAATAGACTTATTAAATTCATATCGGAATTAAGTTTAAATTTTGTCCAAATTGTTAAATTTTCTAGGATTTATAAATTTGTGAATAACGATATATACTGATAGGTTTATATATATAATGGGGATATTCATACCCCCCTCCCCTTAAATACCAGCTGCCCCCCCAAGACGTTGGTTAGTAAAGGGCTGGGGTGTAGCATGAATTATATTAAGGACTCTAATTATTCTTAATAATCTCCAGATGTAGAAATTTCAATATTTCTTCTCTGGTTCACTTAAAAGTCCGGCTGCAAAGCTAAATTATAACTTATCAAACCTTCTGCTTTACATGCATATTTCTTTATGAAAGAAATACAGAGAATCCTTTAAAAACTTCTTAAATCCATATCATTCGTTCTAATTAACAGTGCTTATCTAACTTTGACCATTCTCTCTCAGACCCCCCCTCCTCCTACCCGCAGTGTAAAGGGGGGGGGATGCCCGTCTAAAGCCTAATTTCCGTATTGTTCTCCACATAACTGGTAAGAGGGGGGTTTATACAGGGGGCGCATAACTACACTGTGCGTACACGTACCTAAAGGATTTCCCGTTTTCCGTGCACCCTGCAGGTGGCGCTATGCTCTGTTGATCTCACCTGCGCGGTGCGCGCCACCTGCTCCCTTCTATCCTCTCCTGTGCGCCCTGTGCACCTTGTAAAATCATCTCTGATGTTCATTTAAGAGACATGACGTAATGGTTCTACACTTGATACAGACACTGCGCTAAAACATGATAGATATACCTAACAATATACTTCTCACAATATGTTGTATATCTGTAATGAAATGATAAACTAATTTTTTTAACTCTGAGAGTAGTACTTAGCTATAATTTACATGTCAGACACTTATGACAGCAAAACCTTGAATTTAGAAGACCATGTCAATGAACGCCCCCCCCCCCCTGGTTCGTGTCAGGAAACGCCTACACTCGATGTTATTTATGCAGCAGACTAGGAAAGGGGCGGAGTAGCAAACTTTGCTGCCACAAGAACAGGGGAAATTAAAAACCTGTTAAATATTAATTAACAAATTAAAAAAATGACCTAATTGGATTTGTTTTCCCCTTTGAATTAAACACCACGATGCCCTTTTCCCCTACCCTAAACAGAGCTAACCCCTTTCCCCTACTCCCCCTCCTTTCCCCTC